ACACAAGTCCACAGAGGAAATAGTTGAAGAACTTCTGGAAGAAAATTTCCCTAACATCCTGAAAAGTGAAAAGATAAGCATTCAAGAAGCTCAACGAACCCCAGGAAGGGCAGACCCCAAAAGAAAATCACTGAGACATCAAATCAAGCATTCCAAAATCAAAGATAAGGAGATACTCCCGAAAGCAGTTAGAGAAAACAGAAGTGTTACATACAAAGGAAAGCAAATCAGATTAAGCTCGGCTCTCCTAGCGCAAACCATTCCTGTAAAAGGACATCATGCTTGGTAAAGAGCATGGGTAGTGAAAAAGAGGAAGACCCCCAACAAGATGGAATGGCACAGTGGCAGCAGCAATGGACTCAAGCTAAACAACGAATGTGAGGTTGGTGCAGGACAGGGGCATTCTGGTGTGTGTAAGGTTGCCATGAGTTGATACTGACTTGACAGCATTTAACAGCAACAAAAACAACACGAACAGAAGACTTAAAAATATCAACATTAACCAAAGCAATGTACAGATATAATGCAATCTCAATCCTGATCTCAACATCATTCTTAAAAGAGATGGAAAAACTAATCACTAACTTTATATGAAAAGGAAAGAGACTCTGTATAAGTAATGCATTATTTAAAAAGAAAAATACATAAGCCCTACCACTCCCCAATCTTAAAATTTACTACAGTAATCAAACTGGACTGGCACTGGCATGATGAAAGATACATTGACCAGTGAAATAGAATTGAGAACCAGTAGTAAATCTGTCCAATTATTCTTCAACAAGGGACAAAATGCTTTAAATGGGGATAGTCTTTTCAACATATAGTGCTGACAAAACAGGAAAACATTTGCATAAAAATGAAATAAGACTCACATCACACACTATATACAAAAATGAACTCAATATGGATAAGACATAAATGTAAAGCCTAGAATTAAAAAGATCATCAATAAAACAGTAGGGACAAACTTAGGGGGTTTGATAACATGGCATTAATACACTCTCAAGCATAACTGAAAAAATACAAAAGACAAAATAGATTACTGAAATCTTCTAAATATTCTCAAAATTAGACACTTGTGTCTGTGGAGTTCTGGTGAGGCACTGTAGGATAAGCAAAGGATGCTAACCACAAGGTCAGCAGCTCAAATTCAACAGCTGCTCCTTGGAAACTCTATACAGGGTCGCTATGAGCTGGAACTGACTCAATGGCACTTTAACAAAAACAACATGTGTATCAAAAGATTTCACCAAAAAGTAAAAAGAGAACTTTCACACTAGGAAACATGTTTAGCAACAAAGGAAGACACTCTGAAATTTATATAACACTTCAAGGACTCAAGAAGAAGATAAATAATCCAATTTAAAAATGGACAGACAACATAAACAGACAGTTTACCAAAGAGATTCAGGCAGCCAATACATGCATGAAGAAATGCTCAGAATCATTAGCTACTTGTTGTTGTTAAGTGTCATCAAGCCGATTCTGATTCACAGCAACCCTGTTTAGGGTGGGTTTCCAAGGAGTAGCTGGCGAGTTTGAACCACTGACCTTGTGGTACAAACTGATCCTACAGAGTCTAGTGTTTATCCTACACCAAGACAGACGCAAATCTAAATGATAAAGATGTATTATCTCACACCAGCACTGACAGCGAAGTTTAGAAAACTACAAAAGCTGGTGAAGGTGTGGAGATACTGGGACCCTCCTATACTGCTGATGGGACTGTATAATGGTGCCAGCACTGTGGGAAATGGTATGGCACTTTCTCAAAAAGTTGGAAATAGAAATACCATATAACCCAGCAATCCCTTTACTTGGTATGCATCCTCAAGTAGTAAGAGCTAAGATATAACTAGATATATGCACACCCATGTTCATTGTAATACTATTCACAATAGCAAAAAGATGGAGACAGCTTAAATGCCCATCAAGAGAAAAATGGTGAAACAAATTTTGGTACATACATACAATGGAATACTATGCACTCTTGAAGAAAAATGGTGAATCTGCAAAGCATCTCATAACATGGATGAAACTGGAGGACATTATGCTGAGTGAAATTAGTCAATCACAAAAGAACAAATATTGTATGAAACCACTGTTGTGAAAAGTTAAGAAAATGCTTTCCTGATACAAGAAACATTCTATGATGGCTAGCAGGGATGATGAAGGGGGAAGGAAATTATTCATGGGCTAGACGGTATGACACATGTTAAAATGGTTGTCAGGGCAGGCAATAAACAACAAGAGGGAGGCTGGCAGAGGACAGATGAAGGTAGCAGGAGACACAGGGAGGAATACAAGAATATAAAAGAAAAGAGGTAAATACTGTTAACATGGAGGGGATTGCAATCACTGTAATGAAGCTGAATGTGAAACTGGTGATCTGCTCTGTAAACCTTCATTCAGTTCACAATAAAATATTAAAAAAAAATATTTTCTATAATACTCTACTGACCAATATTTACTAAGACAAGCCTACTGCATCTTTGCCACAGTCCTCTATGTCTATACCACCATATAACGGGAAATACTAATAAGATTTTGAGAGACTAGTCCAGTTTCTGACTGTGTAAGTTGTGCTGATATATAGTGAGGATATGATTTCTCACACTTTGGCCTTTTGATGAAACGCCTTTCCAACACCAGTGTCATCTTATCCTACAATTTCACACATCAGCTACCAGGGTATCTACCCTGAGAGCCCAGTTTCACATTGCACTAATGAGTCAACACCTGTTAAGAGTAGAGAAATCTGAACCTTGTTAGCGATTGTGAAGTCTCCTGGGAACGTGGATGCTGAGCATTGTCATACTCACCACCAACATGTCTGTACTGAGGATCCTGGCTGCAGCTGTGATGAAGTCCCCCATCAGCATGGAGAAGCCAGGAAAGCCCAGGGAAAAAAAGCGGGGCGGGCAGTGCCTTACGATGGTACTTAAGATATCCTAAAAAGGAAGATAAACCACAACTGTAATTGTCATGAAAAATCAAAAACAAAGTAATCAGTTCATCTGTACATATGTCCACTGTATTTTATAGTGAAAGGGGTACTGGGAGATGAGTTAGTGTAAGGGATGTTATTGTTGTTGTTATGTGTCATGGAGTCAGTTCTGACTCATAGCGACCCTGTACAGGGTTTCCGAAGCTGTAAATCTTTACGGGAGTAGAAAGCCTCATCTTTCTCCCGCGGATCAGCTGGTACTTTTGAACTGCTGACCATGAGGTTAGCAGCCCAATTCATAACCACTACACGACCAGTGCTAGTGTTCCCATTTTACAAGCAACAGAATAGAGACACCAAATTTGAAGGTAACTTGTCCAAAATCTAAATCATGGCACTGGATCTAAACACTCCTGTCTTCTACTTAAAGGTGTGTTTTTGGACAACAATAGAAACACAGAAACACATAAAACCTTCAAACATTAACTAATGGTACATGGAGGGGATTATAACCATGATAATGAAACAAAGTATATAATTTGTTGAATGTAGAACTGATGATCTGCCCTGTATACTTTCTCTCAATTCACAAAAGAAACTTAAAACGTAATAAAAAACCTTCAAACACCTGTCATTCAAAGGAAAGCTATATTGTTTTAACTTTCAATTCTACTCAATTTTTAAAAAGTACATAGTTACATTAAAAAAATCTTAAAACATGCAGAGATGAAATTTGCACTTTTCAAATAATTTTATAGGCTACAAAATAGGAATATATGGAGTGCTGTAGTAATGTTATAAGTAATATTCTGAAGTACTGGTGTGGTGCTGCAGGCTAAAGCACTGGACCACAAGGTCAGTTTAAACCATAAGATCAGCAATTCAAACTCACCAGCTGTTCCTCAGAAACCGTATGCAAGGTTGCTGAGTCGGAACTGACTCGATGGCACTTAACCACAAAAACTGGTAGTAGTGGTGGCAGTGAGTACAAATGTGATTGAGGTATTTGACAGGAACCGTTAGCACAACATTCAGCATGAAGACCACCATGTATCCAGATACCTCATGTTTCTCTGTCTGCCGTGGCCCCTCATTTGGAGCCTGCTGGCTGGCTCCTTGCTCGACAGCTCCCTTTTGACTGAGGTAGACACTGTTCCTTGCTGTGGCAGACCACAGGCCATTACTGAATGACTTTCATGCCATCCACAGCCAGGCCACATATCTGAAGTAATCTGAGTATTTGTATGTATACAGGGAGTATTAGTAAGAAAACCCACAAACTTTTTTTTTTCCTCTCCCCAAATTTTCAGTTTTTGGTAATTCCCATTAATTTAACATATAGAAGTACTGGAAGTTCAAACCCACCAGCTGCTTTCTGAAAACCCTATACAGGGTCACTATGAGTTAGAACCGACTTCATTAACAACTCACCAACAACCTGCAATAAGCAGATGACACAACCTTGCTTGCTGAAAATGAAGAGGACTTAAAACATTTACTGATGAAGATCAAAGAGCACAGCCTTTGGTATGGATTACACCTCAATGTCAAGAAAACAAAAATCCTCACCACTGGACCAATAAACAACATTCTTATCAATGGAGAAAAGATTGAAGTTGTCAAGGACTTCATTCTTCTTGGATCAACTATCAACACTCACGGAAGCAGCAGTCAAAAGAATCAAATGACGTAGTGCATTAAGCAAATCTGCTGCACAAGACCTTTTTAAAGTGTTGAAGAGCAAAGATGTCAGCTTGAGGATTAAGGTGTGCCTGACCCAAGCGATTGTATTTTCAATAACCTCACATGCATGTGAAAGCTGGACAGTAAATTAGGAAGACTATAGAATAATTGATGCATTTGAGTTATGGTGCTGGAGGAGAATATTGAAAGTGCCATGGGCTGCCGAAAGAAACAACAGATCCATGTTGGAAGAAGTGTAGCCAGAGTGCTCCCTGGAGGCCAAGATGGCCAAACTTCGTCTCTCATACTTTGGACATATTGTCAGGAGGGACCAGTCACTGAAGAAAGACTGGTAAGGTGGAGGGTCAGAGGAAAAGAGGAAGACCCCCAATGAGAAGGACTGGCCAAGTGGCAGCATCGATGGACTCAAGCATGGCAACAACAGTGTGGCTGGCCCAGGACCGGGGCAGCATTTCCTTCTGCTGTACATAAGGTTGCTACTGCGAGTCAGTACCGACTTGATGGCACCTAACCACAACAAGAACCACAAAGAGACTTGAAGTTATGAAGCCCAGAGTTCGTTTCAATGTACAAGAAAGAAGTAAAATATGAGAAAAGATCTAGCTTTTCTTAGTTTCCAGTGTGACTACTTGAAAAATCTCTTAAAGAAAATCTAGTTCATTCTATTAAATTAGAACAAAGCAGTGGCCACATGCTACTTTCTATGACACTGCTTAACAATTTAGTGTTCTTAAATACAATTTCTATTTGATCACAAAACTTTTTTAATAAGTACCTATTTTTTTTTTCTCCCATAGCTAGTGGACTCTTTATAAAAGCCCCACTCTTTATAGCCTTAAAAAAGACCATATAATACTTAATCCAGTAGAGTTCACATATGGCAAATATTTTAGCAAATATTAATTTAAAATATTAGCATTTAGCAGACTTTTCCTTGTACACAAAAATATTTAATAAAAACAAATTTAAGGAGGGGAGGAAGGAGAGAAAAAACCCTCTCACGCTTTTTCCAAGTTAATGTTTAAACCTGCTTTAATCTCGTCCTTTGATACATTTTAGAGTTGATATCAGTCAAGGCAAACATTCTAAGGGGGCAAGCAGATGGATGATGCACTTTAGAAAGTGTGTGGTAAACTCATGCTGCATGAGTAGAACAAAAGATCCACCTTTTCCATAATTAAGCCCCTGATTAATGCCCTGGGCTCCTCACCACACACCTGTAATTACTCACAGAGGTACGCATTGTGCTGAGCCTTGTCTCAGAATATCAGGCATCAAGCTCTCCAGAAGCAGATGGAAGCACATTTCTGTTAACATATGCTGCAATGAAAGGATTCATGCAAACCTGGCTAGCAAGGTAGCAGAATGCTGTGCATCTGAAGATTAATAATGCAAACAATCATGATGTTAACTTTGTTTTGCTTACACTAATTCCATCTGCTGAGATGAGGAACTAAACCTTGAACCTGAGAGTTTTAAAAAGTCCTTAGCACATACTTAAATCAAGCCTTGTTTCACCACTGGAATTTAGAGATTCAATGTAAGAAATTTTTCTGAGGTAAATTTATGTGAATTATGAGTTAATCTTTCAATAATTAAAATCCAGAGTTTAAAAGCTGAATCCATTTTTGTTTTACAAGATTCATATGTGAAAAGGTAATGATTTGAAACAGAAAATAACTTACTTTTTCAGAAAAACAAAAAAAAAACCCTACTAACTTGACAGTGATGCTAACAATAGCAGATATGTGTATGGCCAGGATAAAGTCACACAGCCCCCTACCCATTGGACCTCAGCCAGTCATTTCAACCTCACCTATTTCTATGGGCAAGAAGATCGGAAAGAGAGGGCAAAATAACAGATGGCTAGCCTACCCTTCCCTGCCACCCACGTGAAGGCAGAGTGCCGAGGAGAAGCAGCCCCGGCGGTGGTCACAAGGGAAAGACAGCACTGAGCTGGGCTAATGTGGTGGTTAAAAGAAGCAAGTACTCAGTCATTCAGCCACACTGCAGCCATATGCCTACTTATTTTGCTTATCAATGATGAAGTGAAGCAATCCAAAGATTACGTTTCTGTGGTAACATTTTAAAAATTAGGGATAACTGTGTAGAGCTCAAAGGTGAGTGGCTGTCCCCACTGAGGGACTCCTACATAATGCTATGGTCCGTTCTCTTAACTCATAGTTAAGAGGGGAGGAAGGATAGAAAAAAACCCACTAGCAGTTTTTTATTTGTATGCAGTTACGGATGGCGACAGTTGTACAAGCACAAGGTTCATAGTAGAATCCTCCTCCCGGCCCTTGCCTCAATGCATTAAGATCACAGATGTACCTGAAATATTTAGGGAGAAAAAATAAAAATCCAAAGACTCTTGATGTGTCTTCCCAGTCTCAAGAACTTTATATATAGACAGCACAGAACAGTGTTTTGCAAACTTCAGTTGCTTGGATACAAGGCTCATGCATTCTACCATATCCATGTCAAAAGTGAATGTGATTTCTCTAAAATGCTTTTTGATGTTTTTATTGTTGTAAGGTGCCACTGAGTCAGTTCCAACTCATAGCGACCCTACACACTACAGAATGAAATACTGCCTGGTCCCGTGCCTTCCTCACAATTATTTTGTTTGAACTCATTGTTGCTGTGCTAATCCATCTCATTGAGGGTCTTCCTCTTTTTCCCCGACCGTTCACTTTATCAAGCATAATGCTCTTCTCCAAGGATTGATCCTTCCTTACAACATGACGAAAGAACAAGGGATGAAGTCTTGCCATCCTGTTTCGAAGGAGCATTCTAGCTGTACTACAACAGAGTTGTTTGTTCTGCTGGCAACCATGGACCTTTTAATATTCTTCACTAACACCAAAATTCAAATGCACTGATTTCTTCTATGGTGGTGGTGGTTACATGCCATGGAGTTGGTTCTGACTCAGAGCTACCCTGTACAGGGTTTCCGAAGCTATAAATCTTTACGAGAGCAGAAAGCCTCATCTTTCTCCTGCGAACAGCTGGTAGTTTCCAACTGCTGACCCTGACCCTGAGATTTCTTCTATAGTCTTCCTATTTTTGAAGTTATTCACTTTTAAGAACTTAAATATAATTAGTATCCTTGTCACAAATACAAAAATAATCCTTAAATCAACACATTAACAGTAAAAGAATATTATTGAATGTTTGCCAGATATCACGGTTGGAAGCTTTGTGTCTAAAACTGGCTCTCTTTTAAAAACTGCGAGTTGCAACATCAGGATGGAGTGAGAGAAGTTCTTCTACCAATTCCAAACAGTTTACTTGAGAGAG